GCACTCGTCAGCAGGTCGATCGTGGCCCGGATAGCCCAGTGGTAACGTCTCTGACTGTGAAGCTGGGTGACACGAGATCGAATCCGCCAGGGAGCACCAGTTCCCTCAAGATTACAGGTACACCTTGCTGACGAGTGCCAAGTAGCACGAAACCCGAGTCCAGGGTTTCCTGTTGACTACCTCCAACCACCATCTAATCTCAATACATTGAAGAGAAATTGTCAAGGTCGAATTCCTAAGTTTATTGAAGCCTTAGCTATTCGTAAATTTAAACCCCCCTTATGTGTACAAAAACAATTTGTCGTAACCTTGAATTTACCTTGGTAATCCTTAAGTTATTCTATGGCTTAGGATAACGCGACAATTTCTTATTCTTTCTCTCTCCTTAGTTATTTTAATTGAACTTTTATTTGTTTGACCTTTATTAATTTTTATATAAAAATGCCCTGACATATATATGTGTGACCAGATTGTTCGAAATGTATAGCGCAAATACATCACATTTTTCAGATCAACTCCGTCTTCTCATTGTTCTATCGAAATTTGTAAAAGGGACTAATTGCTTTAAATTCTTGATAAATCCTTAGAGATGAACCAGAAAAACTCCATGTTACAAATGCGCCACAACATGTTTACAAAATTTTCGAAAGTAAAGCATTACTAACCCTCGAATCTGGAGCTATCCCCATTTTTAGACATAATAGAATGTTATTGAACTTGTGAACTTCTCAGTTTGGGCTGCACCGATATTGGTTGTCAATAAATTAAACGGTAGCGTTCACTTATGTACAGATTACTCTGCCGGACTAAACGAAGCTCTAGAATCTTACCAGAATTCTTTAACTTAACCTGAAGATCTCTTCGCCAAGCTGAATAGTGGCAAGTATTTTGCAAAATTGGATTTATCGGACGGCTATTTGCAAATTCCTGTAGCGGATGAAAGTAAGGATCTCCCAACGATCAGCACACACAAAGGTCTGTTTCGATATAACCAACTGACATTTAAAGTAAATATGGAATCCTTTATTTTCCAGTAAATTATGGATGTCAAGGTAAAAAATATTCCAGGAGCGGCGTCTTATTTGACTGATATCAAAATCATGGGAGCAGACAAAAAAGGCTTGCGGAAGATTATTGACTATATGTTAGCACGTATAGTTGTGTATGGTTTTTACCTCTGCGATGAAAAGTATGATTATTTTGTGCAACAGATGCGATACCTTGGTTTCGTAATAAATAAAGATGGGATACGAACAGACTCAGAGAGTATAGAAGATATAAAAAACTATACCTACTCAACGGTCTTTTTATAGTTTGGTCAGTTATTACTGAACTTTTCTTCCTGATCTTCAACATCTGTGTACCCGGCTGAATTGTTTACTAACAAAGAATACCAGGTGGATCTGGCCAACAGAATGTCAACAATCATTCCTAAAATAGCTCCTATCGTCAAATCGTCTATTTGTACACTATGATCCAGTCATTCTTATTGTGGTAGCAGTAAATGCATCAAATTATGGAACTGGGGCAGTGGTTCCATATATCTACCCTACTGGATCTGAGAAAGCAATTGCCCACGCCGCACGATCACTAACAAAGACAGGAAGGATTTGTAGTCAGATAGAGAAGGAAGCCCTCTCCATTGTCTTTGCTGTAAAGACGTTTCACATGATGCGATTCGGCAGACAGTCTTCGTTACTAACAGACCACAAGCCTCTACTAGCAGTTTTTGGATCCAAGAAGGGTATACATGTTTATACAGCAAGCCGTCTACAACGATGGGCAACCACACCTCTGGGTACGATTACGAGACAAATTATCAACCGGCAACGGATTATGAACAGGCAGATGCTTTCTCGAGAATAATTGGCTCCGATTCATTTTCACTAAAATCTAGAAATACCTGAGCGTTTTATACTGCTTGGAATAAGATTCCTTCCAACTAGTCTTCTGACTTGCGATTTGGAGGGGTTCAAGCGTTCAGGTGCTCAATTTTTAGGCGGTATAGCAAGAAATATTTAGGCTACAGATTTAACAGTTATTAATCAAATTCATACTAATGTGCACTTTTTACAAGGCGTCACCTTGAGGAAGGTAAACTAACGAAAGCACCTAGGAACAATAATACTTTATAAATCAAGAGAAAGAGTCGTACTGAATATTAAATTGTTTCTCCTCAAAACCTTAAAAAACAATCAACATCTCAGGATAATTGCATTTTTATTAACTTTCTACTAGAGCTTATCATCTTAACTTCAGAAATGTACTTAAAAATGCAGTCGTGATACTTAAGCATGGTGGGTAGTCAGAAACAACCTTTGAACCTAAGTTTATTTGATATTCATAAATAAGATAAGCCATCAATTTTGAGCGAAATAATGATTAGTGAGGAATTTGAAATTGCTCTGTCCAGTTCTCTAATCTCAGTGGTTGGCATTGAGATTTTTGGGTATCAGCTATCATCCTTTAGTATCGAGATGTTCATGATAATTGGTCACTGCGTAGCATTCAGTGTCACACTTCACCATAACTTAATGTTGTACAAATAAAACAAACCAAGAGGTAACATCAGTGTTTTTTTAGCTGGAAAGTAAATTAAGAAAAACACTGACAGTGTATAGAATATAAACAGAAGAAATTGTCAGACTCTATTATAAAGGAAACCCTAAAATAGAATTCTGGAGGTAAAAGGAAAAGAAAATGAACAAAGAACACATTGATACAGGTATCGGAGGTAGACATCAAATTAATGAATAGAAACTGAAAACAAAAGAAAAGGTGAGCTCTGGACAGAGACCTGATTGGAAGCCTACACCCCTCCACGAGGTGTAACAGGCGTAAGTTAAGTAGACGATAACGTCTCAGAATATGAACTTCGAGGAAGGTCGTTCGAATACAACACTGACAATCATCTCGCTCAAGATTGATGTTTTACAAGTTTTAGCCACCACAGAAGCTGGGTTCATGGTTACTTGATGAGAATCTTCAATCATCTAAGATTTTTAATCACTTAGACTAATAGGCATATTTTAACTAGATTGATAGTATTCGATAAGGATTAATAACTAAACTAGCGAAAATCCAGTTAATACTCCTTAACTATCTAATTTGTTAAAAGTTGTTGGAGTTATAATGGTTTTATCTTAATATGTGATTAATATTATAAAAACCTAGAAATGCTATATGTATGTTCTTCAAATGTAATTCTGTTGTAGAGGTAGTTACTTACCGAAAGCGATGGTGCACGGTCGTTCAGTATCATGGATTGATAGAAGTTAGACATTAATACTGTAGGATGCCAACTCAATGGTCAAGAGGCGTTAGGCATTCGCTTGCGAAATCGAAAGTCTTGGCTTTGTGTCTCATGTGTGAGATCATCTATACGCACTGCTGAAGAGTGCCATATTAGGACGAAACGACCGTTTAATGCTTTAACCTGACCGTTGTTGCTACCTTGACGTGGTGGTCGGGCTTGCTTATCGTGATGAAGCAACCGAGCTACACTGGGTGTAACAACCGTTCCTCAAGATTCTACCATATCAGACAGGTCGGTTGAAATGCGGTAAGACTAAAAGCAACAAACCCAAGGTCCGAAGGCGAAGTCGTACTGCTGACCGTACATAGGTGTGACAGCAGTAAGGTGTTTCCTTCAGGCAACCAGCATGACAGCGATGCTGCCTTCCAAAAAAGGTTGACCCTGAAAATGCACACCACGCTTTATCCCACGGATATCCGTCTCCGGCGGTAAGGTCTCAACAAGTACGGAGCTAACACAAAAATCACTCATAAAAAGGCCGTGTGTGACCGACCACAAGCAGTCGTCCCTTGGGCACTGCGGTCACACTCTCAGGTCACTAAAACCACCTGTAATCCAATTTCTTTTTCAGGTGCCTCCAGAAGAAGCCTTCCATGGTGTGGGCAACCGGGAAGTGATAACCGCCCTCATACCTCTAACAGCACTCAAGACCACCTTTTAATACTTTAATACAACAAAACCATGTTACCAAACAATTTGAATCAAGAATCAAGATGACTGTTTTCTTCATAAAGAAACAAATAATTTATTTCGTTATTTATGTTAGTTTATAACAAAGTATGAAATTCAGAAATTATTTTTTTGTTTAAACTTAAAAGAAACAACATTATAGTGACAGTTTGTCCACTTTTTTGTACGATTCATTATACGTTAGTCATATAAATAAAAACTTGAATTGTTCAGATCATGAGTCAATTAAAGCTAGATCACTACGGAAAATCACCTGGAAGCACTAGATAACCATTTCGTCCTATTGTACGACTCCACACCGGCGCACATCCACGATCCCACCTCATGAGATTCGAACCCAGGACCTATTAGTCTTGTATACTAACGTTTAACTTCTAAACCGATAAACAATCCCATCATAAGAGGAAACAGCTATCTAGTGTTTCCGAATTTTCCATAATCGTCTAACTTAGATTGATTCATGATTTCAACTATTAAAGTTACTGTAATATCTACAAACAAACAAACAAAAAATCCCTTCTGATATAAATAAGAATTTATAAATAAAGTTATAAATACATATCAATCAAGAAATATAAGTTAAGGGGTTGTGCAGATTGTTAAGTTCTTGATTGCGATCATGAACCGATTGATGTTAGACCACCATTGAAAACCTGGAAGCACTAGACGGCCATTTCGTCCAATTGTGGGACTCCTCAGCAGTGCGCATCCACGATCCCGCCTGCGGGATTCAAACCCAGGGCCCTTAGTCTCGCGCGCAAACGCTTAACCTACTGGACCACTGAGCCGGCATCCAATGGTGTTAATGTCTGATCTCAACCAATCTTGGATGCACACTGCTGAGGAGGAGTCCCACAATAGGACGAAACGGCCTTCTAGTGCTTCCAGGATTTCAGTGGTGGTCTAACATCAATTAGTTCATGATCTCAATCAACAAGAAATATAAGTTAATACAATACAATATAATATACATTAAAAGTTACATAGTTAGTTATTAATGCACCGGATATATAGTAGGATTAATATTTAATTCCTGAATATCATTTTGATTATGTAATCGATCATTAGAACTATCATTAAATTGATGAAATTCACAATTTCGATGTATATTATTGTTACTATTATTATTATGTAATGATGTTTGAATATTGATTATTTCTAATTTCTCATTCGATTTAATCAATGATGTTTCAGAATTAATTAATGAATTATTTGAATTTTGTAATGTATTTAATTTTTCATGATTATCATAATTATTATTATTATTATTATCGATTTCCAATGAAATTAAATGTTGATTAATTTTAAGTAATTGATTTGATTCAATAGAATTTTCTAATTTTAAATTACCCTCTAAATTACTTTGGATACAATTTGTATTGATTTTTATATTTGAATTTAATAATGTATCATTTTCTTTTAAGTCTATATTTATTGATTTATGAATAGGATTAGAGATCATTGATAAACGATTTGATTGATGTGATGATAAACTATCCGTTTGATAATGTTCATTTATTGTTGTGTGAGTTGGACAAAATAAAAATCCGGATTCACCAGATGGAAATCTAACTATTAATGGTGTAAGACATGATGATAATTGATTGATTGATTGATTAATAGTATCCTGTGATAATGAATCAATTGTAGAACTATTTCTAAATGTATAATTCGTTAAATCTTGATTAGTCCGTTTTTTCTGTTATTAAATGACATGTTTCATCATTTTCAATATCATTTGAATGAGATAATTCAATATTTGTACATAATTGATGGTCTTTTTGTTGAGTAGATTGTGATGAACTATGTTGATATATACTATTGGTATTACTATTTGATTGTGTAAATGGATGATATTGTTTTGATTGTTGTTGAATATCAACTTTTCTTGTTAATTTATCAGATTGTTCACCTGTACATAAATATTGCATACGATAAGTTGAATAAGGATTTGGTGATACAATGATATGATTTGGTATAATTACACCATTTCCATTTGTTGTATCAGTTAAACTTGTTGAATCATTTGAATATAATAATGATCCATTTAAACTACCATTTTGACCAGGTATAGTAATACTACCATTTTGAAAACAACATTCAGATAATAAAGGATGATTATGATGATGATAATTGGATTGTTTAGAATAATTAACCGATTGTGAATGAAATAAATTTGTTCGTTTTATTGAAGTTGGATCTGATTCTATTGAAACACCAGAACTACTTTGACCATTCTGTTTATGATATTTGAATAAATCATCTGGATTCATTGTTGATGAATTACTAATTAAATGATGAAATGTTGGAGTTGTTGATATATATGAAACATTTGTATTATGTGTTGTTGATAATGGTAGAATGGATGTAGTTGGTTGAAATAGATTTGGTAACATCATATTACTATTCATAGGTGGTAATAAATGATTATTTTCATTCTGTGTATAATGTCCAGATTTATTATGATATAATAAGACAGATTCTGTTAAACTATCATCAATTTGTGTAGAATAATTCATGAATGTTGTATTAGGTTCAATGATTTGTCCAACATGACATGATGTCATTAATAATGGTTGATGATTCGATGCATTCAATGATTTATTCATAGATGTTGACATGTTTAAATTAGATTTGGTTTGTATACATAATACACATTTTAAGTAGGAGTTTACTTTTCCATGTTGGGCATCATCTGAAAACATTTCAATGATTCAAGATAAATCTATTAATGATTTAAAATTAAATTGGCGGTATTTTGATATGAAGTTATCAGTGAAATTATTACTTTGAACTGGTATATATTAATCTAGTTATATGAATTAGTTGAAGTTAAACATTAATACCGTTGGATGCTAGCTGGTTCAGTGGTCGAGACCGAAAAGTCCTGAGCTTGAATCTTGTGAAATGAGATCGTGAGTGTGCACTGCTGAGAAGTCTTTTACTAGGACAAATCGGCCGTCCAGTGTTTTCAGGTGGTCTTCCATGATAGTCTAACCTCGATTGATTCATGAATTCAATTATTAAATTACCAGTTATTATATCTTCATGTACTTTTCAATTTGAGGTATCTGCACCTCTGTTTATATAAATAATCAATAAATTGTGCCATATAGACTTAAAAACTCAAATCTTGAGAATGAAATCCCTCTGGTGGCTAAAATAACTTTATTTTTCCTACACAGAGTTTAAACAAGAATACACTGTGATTTAACGTGTGATCTACAATACTTTTTTCCTCCCTTACACATATATTAAGGTGATACTTTAATACGTTTATAAGACCAATCATGTTGTATTAGAGTCATGATTCGCGATCCGAAATAGACAATCGGTATAATACTAGAAAATACTTTAATCAATCTGATTACAAGTAGTCGCACACAGTGAATTCAGATTAAAAATCAATAATAAGAAGGAACATCACATATATTCCTTGTTTGTTTGAGAATGAAATCATATGAGTTTTGCTAAATCCGATTTTACTATTCGAAAAATTAACACAGCGAGATGTCTAAGCCGTGTTTGGGCTGACCCAGCATTATCTGGTGAAGCCAGTTGACTTCTTTGAAAATAATTTTCATTTCACAAGGCTCACAAATACACCACGTGGATGTGATTTTGTGAGAAAATCATTTATTGGCACACAAGCGTCGCAACATGAACAAACATAGTCTACATGCATACTGGTAACACATAAGTTTTCATCTATGGATGCCTTGGCGTACACATAAGTATACTGACCTTGTAAGGGAATATACGTTACATGCACACTAGTATCACATAAGTTTTCCCTCATGAATCTCATAGCATACGTATTTATATATTCACTCACATGAGAGAATAGATAATCACCACTCCCTTTGAACGTATTTGCTACATCTAACTGTTACTTATGCATTACATATATATCATCGGTATAAAGACGGTTACTTCTGCACTTCTTGACATACATATAAGCATGAGCACTCTTTCAGGAAAGGTTGATAGTCACCTCATTCTAGTATTTGTTACCATAATTTTTATTGTCTTTCACCTAAAAGATTCGGCCGCTGATTTTATTGGACATATGAGGACGGGGCAGCTCACGTCCTTAGTGCCAACCTAGACGCGTACCCTTTGGATAAACCTTAACACGTAAATCACACAGGCAAAAACTTGTGCAACTCATAGGCAAAAGCATACAAATCGAGTAGCTTGCAAGATTTCAGAGAACCTCTAGAACGAAACTCAATTAATCTGGTTTACAGCAGAGTGGTGGATAAGTCCAATCACCTCCAACCGCTCAAGTTACTTAACAATTTGCTCCTACTACTCAGCAGCACCGCGGTGATACCTTAGATGAGATTTCAGTGTAGTATTTTTGTCACAGGTTTCACTATTCAATATTGAATTATCTATCGAAAGCATATTATGTAGTGACGCTTTATAAACTCATCGTTTACTACAGATGTCCAAGTTGTCCAATTGATCTTAGAAATACTATTTTCACATATATATACATGTTAGTTTTTCTTTAGGTTTCAAATTACAGAGAAATAAAGCTGCAATTGAGATGTCACGTTTAATACTAGAAACCGTTTAGATGAAATCTTAATAGAGAAACACATTAACTACATATAAGATACTTATGTTTTATATTCTATAAACATTGTGAACAGTTTGTTCTTTCAGATCTTAACTCCCGTAACGACCAATTAGAAATTACTGTTTGATTTTGTCCGGAAGCTTAAAAAATCCTAATGTTTGAGGTCATCTTGTGAGACGCCATATATTGTTTGGGTTTTAATATATTTGGATGATCAGTATAGGGTTGTGGAGATTAATAAGATCTTGAACTGACTGATGTTAGACTACCATTGAAAACCTGGAAACATTGGACGGCCGTCTCGTCCTACTGTGGGACTCCTCAGCAGTGTGCATCCACGATACAATGGAAGATGCTCGCTCAATTTCGTAGATTGGTTGATGTTAGACATTAACACCGTTGGATGCCGGCTCACGTGTCAAGTACGTTAAGTGTTCGCGCGCGAGAATGAAGGCCCTGGGTTCGAATGCCGTAAGCGGAGTCGTGGATGCACACTCCTAAGGAGTCCCACAATAGGACGAAACGACCATCCTGTGCATCCAGGTTTTCAATGGTGGTCTAACATCAATCGGTTCATGATCCCAATCAAGATCTGAATGACTTTTATAAAGGACACCAATACTCTGGGTATTTATTAACTGAAATTTTATTACATGTCTTTTATTCACCTATATGTACTTTGATGAATAAGTTAGTATGAAATTGATTTACCTAAATAACTCTTCAATAATAAACATCGAATTATTAAAATAATATTGACGATCAGAGAAATAGCCAATATTCCAATCAAACTGAGTACCAATTCAGGTCGAGTCACTATAAAGAGAATAAAATATGAGATAAAAGTATAGGAAAACATAAATGACTTCATTATAAACACTTATCTATTGTTTAAATTAAAGTACAAAGTAAGCACGTCTCAAACATAATTTGGCTTCTTAGTCAGTAGAAAGTATTTGATGATAAATGTTCTTTCATTTAATTAACGTAACGTAGTGTAGAAGCGATGGGCCCCCTATGCTCTTTCATGAAAAGTAACAGGTGTAAGTGAGTAAGTAAGTGTAGAAGCGATTTACAAATTCAAGTCATTAGTCGAAATGTAGTGTTCCAAAGTAGATTAGACAGTATAATGAGTTCCATTCAGTAAAGTACATTCTAAATACTGAACTGTTCTCTGAGAGATAATAAACTAAACCACTATGTAACTTCAGTTTAATGTTATGGGAGAACTTGTGTTCACATTCTACCGTAGATTGGTTTAGCAAAACAAATATACTTCTAACTTGAAATTTGTACTTTTGAATATGTCTTTAGAATATATGTTCACCTTACACTAAAGTCATTGTATACGGCACTGTTAAGATGATACCATAGTGTATTAGATCCATCTGATGATGAACTAATACGAAGTTGATAAGAGAATATGTTTCTTTCTAATCTAACTAGGAATTATTATGTGGTATTATGAGGTAGATTTTGCAAATACTGTAAAAGTCGAATAGTGCTAATTCACCGTATCTATAGTACTTGTGTCGGAGGTTCTAAAAGGTTAAAGTATGTATTTGAAAGTTTTATGTTTATAACATTTGACTTGCTTATTGAGATATACACAACCTTATATTCCAGTAAAAATAAAACAATCTACTATTCATAGATGTTCCAGCTTAATTAACCAAAATTGTCTAGATGGTATACTTCGATTACACTTCAGGATGATCAGTTTACTTTCTGATAAATTTATCGATTTCTGACTTCTATTAAACTGCATTATATTATTCACATTCTATTCAAACTTCATACTGAAAGCATCAAGAACTATTCACATAAACTTCGAGATTTATTGGGTCAATCAAAAATCGACAAGTGAACGTGATTTTCCAAGAAAAGGATTTAATTTCTGAAGAATAATGCTTTACAAAACTAAGCCACCGATAATATATAAGTTCACATCGTTGTTGATTCACTTAAGGCAATAAACTCTATCTTTTCATGCGAGTAGCCAATTTATTCGTACATAGAAAGATTAAGTATCATGTTCAACTCTCAAGGATTGGCAAAACAAGGACAGTGTTCCTACAACTGAAGAATATATGGAATGCAAAACAACTGTTACTCAAAATCAAAGTCAGAATCTTCATTATAAAATGCAAGACAGTTCTACTGTACGGAGTCGAAACTTGGAGAGCTACTACAACTACCAAAAAAGTACAGGCTTTTATCAACAATTGTCTACACAGAATACTCAATATCCGTTGGTTGGATAATATCAGCAACAACCTACTGTAGGAGAAAATAAACCAGCATTAACTGAATGAATGAACAAAGAACACATTCATACGAGAATTAGAGCTAAACTTCAAAGGAATGAATAGAATTCGAAAACAACAGGAAAGGAGAGCTCATAACGGAGTTGATTGGATAAACCTGATTAGTGGCCTATGCTCCTCGATGATGTGTAACAGGCGTAAGAAAAGTAAGTAAGTAGTCAAGTTACGGATACCGCACTTAATAACTATTAGAACTATAAAAGCCTAAAGCGATATATATATATATATATATATATATATATATATATATACATATGTCGTAAATGGAGATCATATGTAGAAAGTAATTACAGCTATATTAAATTTGCATGACTATCTGATGTGTGGGTGATGATGATTTCTCAGGACATACATTTTTTTCAGGGTCGTGTATAGTGCCTTTGTTTCATCTCTGACCGTATCTAGAGAGCATACGGTCTTAAGTGTATGATGCAGTGTCTTAATAAGGTTCCATTTGTATTGCAGAGGAACAACACTAAGAAAGTTTGCATGTTGTTTATGTTTCTTCTTAGCGATCCGTCTTTTCTCCTTGCAGGTAGAACATCTAGAAACGCTATTCTATCCCCATTTTCCTTCTCACATGTGAATTTTGTGGACGGGTGAACTGTATTGAATCGTTTGAGTGTTTCTATGAAGTCCGTATGATCGTTACAAAGGATAAGTGTATAATCCATATACCGGCAGTAAAATGGAAAATTGTCTGTCCGTTGTGCCAGAGGGTCGTTTTCTAGTTTAGAGAGGAAAATGTTAGCTAGTATTGGACCTAGAGGTGAACCCATTGCGACACCATCTATTTGTCTATAGATTTCACCACTGAATTTGAAATGTACATTCATAGTACATTTTAGTAGTAATTCTTTGATAATCTCCACAGGAATTATAGTTTCTACTTCATGTTCTTTAAGTTGTTCACAAATATATTCTACAATTTCTTTGAGTGAGACATTTGTAAACAATGACGTTACGTCAAAGGACATCATTGTTTGATCTGTCGTGTTTATGTTTTTAATCTTGTCAACGAACTGGGATAGATCCTTAATACTATGCTTTACTAGATGTTTAATGAGTGGTTTTTTCAAACGGTTACTAACCAATTTGCTACAGTATGATAAGGGGAATCGTAAATGTCCGAAATTGGTCACAACGGGATGTCCGGTTTATGTACCTTCGGTAGTGCGTATATCCTAAGTAAATGGGTACCTATCGGCTTAATCAATTCATATTTGTCTGGTGGAATCATCTGTTGATCTCTGAGCTTTTTTAAAGATCTGCTCAGTTGATTCTTTATATTATTATTGACATCATTTTGGTTATTCAGTTTCTGAAATTTTTAGTGATCATTCAAGATGTTATTCATCTTGTCAATGTATTTTTTTGTTAAGTAGGATAGTTTCTGCTCCTTTATCAGGTTTTGTGATAATCAACTGCTGCTATGTAGCAAGTTATATTGACAGATGTTCGAAGAATTTATACATTCGGACTCGTGAGCACCTCCCAATATGGTTAAGTTAAGGTGTAATCAAAACGGTTAACAGTTCCATTTTGTTCCATTCAATTCAGACGGGACATATGAATATATATTCAATAAAGCTGAATACTTTGAATATAAGATTTCAATTATAATAGTAACAATAATCTAAGTTAACTTACATTTAAAATCAAGTAGACGTTGACTTTCTTGTTTCTGTGCCAAACGAATATACTTTTTATCCATAGTGTCATTTTTCAATTCATCAGTTAAATTCATCAAATTATCTGGGGTTTTTTTTAAAGAACGAACGGTAAATCTTTCATGAGATTTAAACAATTTGCTGTGTAATTCACAATTTAATAATGGGATTCATGAGTCAATTAAAGCTAGACTATCATGGAGACCACCTGGAAGTACCGGATGGCCTTTTTATCCTAGTATAGGACTCTTCAGCAGTGCACATTCATGATTCTGCCCGCGAGATTCGAACCCAGGACTTATCGGTCTTGCGCACAAACGCTTAACCGCTAGACTCATGAATTCAACTATTAAATTACTATAATCTCCAAAAGAGTTTATGATTGACAGTCAATAACCTTATAGACATAAAATTTAACTTTTATCATGCTTTTTAGAGAAGTTAATGATTATGGAGCTGTTATTTTTCATACTTATATTCATACATAATATTCCTTAAACAGATTAGTTTGTGTTCGAAATTCCTTGAAAGCGAATTTCTTAAAGACAGTTATTCCAATACCTTCATAAGTTGCATTAAGTTTTGAGTCCTCACTCATGCAGAGAAATTAACTACGACGAAGTATAATAACAGCTCTCTGTAAGATATAATATGGGGTATTCAATTCTTAAATGAAATACATTGCTAGCCGAATTCAGTTTATGTTAGTGGATGATGAAGAATGACCTCCAGACAGCACAAAAGCTTTAGAAGGAAACCTTACTTTGATGCATTGTCTCCATGGTAACTTCATCGAAAGTATTCGGATTTTTCCTGTTTTCAATTATTTCACTCTTCGCTGTAATTAAATTGATTTTATTGAATTTAGATTGACTTTTGATGTTTCTGTGAGACTGATTTATAATATCGGTTCTATTTTGTTTCAATAAGCCATTCTTAATCTGAATATCATTATTACTGCTGGTAATATTTTTATCAGGATTATTATTAGCATCACTGATATTTGCTGGAAAAGTTTCTGCAGCCTGTAATTCTAGTGATCTAACTGCCCGTTGTCCACGATATTCACAATTCCATAGTCCAGTATGATCAAGTTGTTCCATATTAATAATATATTGATATTGGAATGTGCTTGCATTGATCCTTTTAAATTGACATCCTTCAATAACTTGTGCTATACTACGTGGTATTGTACAACCATTTTCATTTAATAAACAGTTTGGACTACAGTCCATATAACATATGGAAGTTGAAAGCTGAAATACAAAAACGTAAACCACAAACAAATGCGTATTTAACTTAACTATTAAAATTACTATAATATCTACAAAAACGCCTTCTGATACTAATCGGTATATGCTTACTAGCAACTAACTTCAATAGGTATTTCCTGGAATTCTAGTGAGAAGCAGTGACCAGTGGGGTTCAACCGGGTCTGTTGTGAGATAGTAACTCACCGAAGACAATGGTGGACGGTAGTGCAACTTGATGGATTGATTGAAGTAAGACATTAACACTGTTGGATGCCTGCTCAGTGGTGTATATGTTAAGCATTGGCGCGCAATACTGATAGGTTCTGGATTCAAATCTCGCGAGCGGAGTCGTGGATGCACACTTCTGAAGATTCCCGTACCAGGACGAAACGGCCGTTCCTACTTACAAGTAGACAGCGTAACGATAAAATCTTTTGTTTTTCATTTGATTACTTCTTTACAGTGTACAGAAATGACAAATTTTAAGACCGAATTTTGTTGTCGGAAATATTTAACTCAAATTTTGATTAGAATTGGATGGTATCTAGCAGTGGAATCAACGATCACCAATTAGTTCTGTTTAAGACTAGTTAGTTGGATATACCTTCAATCCAGTGTTGATATTCATAGCGAAAATAAATCATAGTACCTTTCACTTTAGACGCCGACACGTTAACTACAGATTTATCGAATTCAGATAAACGTTGGCTTTTTTAGCTGAGCATGATTTCTATTTGTAAGAGCCTAAACAAGAATACCTTTTTTGTTATCAAACTGACATTAGCAACTTTAATTCAGTTATGACAAAATCTTTGATCAGTGGAGTTAATCGTTTTAGAGTGTTAGGCATTTACCACTGAAGACAATGAAAGATAGTCACCCAATGTCGTGGATTGGATGAAACTAGACATAAACATCCTTTGGTCCTGACTCATTAGTTTAAAGATTAAGCGTTTGCACGAAAGACAAAATGTTCTGTGTTAGATTCCTAACTACGAGGTCATGAATGCTCACCGTCGAGTAGCCTCATAAAAAAATGAGACCAGGATCCAATAATTTCAGGTTTTCAATGGTAGTTTAATCTGATCGCATCCTAACTAAAGTGAGTAGTCACTTTACTTTGATATTAGCTGATAATTTAACACTTAATGCAGTAGAAAAGTATAACTTGTTTCTAGTAATCATTAGGTTCATGAACAGAATTAAGCAAAGATAATGATCTAATAAGAGATCCATGTGAGGTAGAAATCATTTCAATGTACATCATTGAATAACATTTTGTTTAAAATAATTTCACCATTTGATTAGAAGTGTTCGAATTTTAACATTTAAGAAAACGATAAGAATTGAATCCTTACCTATCTATACATATCATTTGCTCATTTACTAAATATTGAGGAGTATATAAAGTATCCTGATAATTGAGATGTATTTGTTGAATAGTTTGATGTTTTCCTACGTTTAAATTATGATGAGTAAATATTTATCAATTTATTTGTATCCAGATTGAGAAGATAAAAACACATACGTCTTCTTGTTTCAGTGGGTGTATTTCAAAACATGTACGCCTTAGAGGAGACAACTACCATCACTATTCAACAGGACGCTGCCTACCAGTTGCTATTCATCCTTTTCATATATGCTTCCAATTCCGATGCAATATGTTCGTTAGCCTTCCTGTTTTCCGCTTCCCTTCAGGATTTCAAGTTGGGGATCGCCTCTTTATGCAGCTTGGTAATTTCTGTAATCTATGTCCTATCCATTTCCATCGTCGTTTCCTAATTTCCTTTTCAGCTGGAAGTTGGTTCGTTCTCTCCCACAATAAACTTTTGCTGATGGTGTCCGGCCAATGGATGTTGAGCATCTTGCTTTGACAATTGTTTATAAATACTTGCATCTTCTTGATGATGGTTGTAGTTGTTTTCCAAGTTTCAGCTCTGTACCGTAGAACTGTCTTGATGTTTGTATTGCCGTTTCTCAATATGATGTTGGTTGACAGTTGTTTTGAACTTCATATGTAATTCAATTGTAGGAATGCGGCCATTGCTTTGCTAATCCTCGCCTTCACTTCTGTATCTGATCCTCCTTGTTCATCGATGATATTTCTCAGACACGTTAAAGATTCCACATCTTCCAGAGTTTTGCCATCAAGTGTGATTGGGTTGCTGATTACAACTAACTTCTTAAAAAATTCAATGTCAGTATTTTTGACAAAAGTAGCGTATTAATTTTATAAATAGCAAACTCTTTAAAACAAACAAATACAATTTATTTGATCATTATCCAAAGGAAGTTTGGTGAGACTATATTTTATGGACAACCTATGAGTGACGCTAAAGTGACCTTGAGAATGTCCACCCAATAACTAGAACCAAATGATGGTTATAAACCAATGTAAGGAATTATAATTATAATTTATAGTTGATGATTAAGGTTAGGAATTAGATTTAGGGTTTTCATCACGAACTGACATCAGCTATAATGCCAAAACTCTATTTAGCATAAAGGGATGAATGAATTTCAAGCCAAAATCCGAACCTATTATCTTATACCTGATTAGTTCGTCTATAAATTATAGTCTCACCTAAAGCTTTTTAATTCTTGTTTAGTTTTAAAATAACTAACCTGTGGACAAATTAAATATACCGTACTTTTTGGTTTCATTTCAATCATTGATTCATTGATTAATTTTGTTTGATTATGTATATTTTTGTTACTATGGGAAAAATCAATTTCTTTTATGTTTACTTCACATGTAATTAAACCTTTTCTATCAGCACGAATACGATAGAAGATATTCATAGTATTAGATAGAATAGAATGATCTAAATTAGAATTACTATGATGTACTATACGTTTTAATCTATTTAAAGGCATAGTGTTTCTACTCAACTCATTGGTTTGATATGATAATACTGAATGATAATTTATAACATTTAATAATTGAATAATGATGATTACATAATACATGATGTAATCGATAATAATGAATCGATTCAAGTTACCAAGGAATGTTAATATTCAATTCAATAATGAGTTAGAATTTAAGTGTTCGATCAAATGAATTTTATTCAATCTGTAAAACAAGAAAAAGTTGAAAAAAGAGGTTAAATGATTAAAGTGTCTTTTCTATTTGATTATTTATAATAGTAATATATATCAGAAGGGGGTTTGTGAATATTATAGTAATTTTTTTATTGGTTGAGATCATGAGTCAATTGAAGCTAGATCACCTTGGAAAACTTGGAAACACCGAACGGTCATTTCGTCCTACAATGGGACTCCTCTTTGGCAGTGCTCATCCACGATCCAACCTCGCAAGATTTGAACTCAGTAATTTAAAATGATTGAAATAGAATGAACAACAGTTAAAATTACGTCATTTTATAAATTGACATCAACCGGTAGTGTAGTGTTTGTTATTTATATCGAAATAAGCAGTATATAAGGCTAGTCAGGAACAGTGTCAGGCAGCCGAAGGTCAAGAAGATCGATGAGGTAAAATAAACGGTAACAAAGAATGATTGGTGTGGTAATGAAGGAACAGTGAAGTTTGAGACAATTAGTTGACATTTTGCAAATGAAGTATTTGCTGTATAAATCTTAGATTTTACTAAGAGATACTGTAAATTTGTGTTCAAATACTTTCGATTGTCCCGATATGTGTTCTTGTTCCTTACAGTGGGACTGTTTAATGAGAATCAAAATGTGTACTTTTAGATTTCATAAAGTAGGTAACAAAATGTGTAAGTACTATTTCGCATCACTGAACAACATTGATAATGCTTCTTGATTTTCATTGGCTAACTAACCTAGGTAAATTCATTATCTCAGTATCATGGTTACTAATTTATTCTCCTTATTTTCATACAATATAGAATAAAATGCACCTTTATGACTGATACAAGTTTAATTAGATTATTGATTTCAGTAAACAGTTATGACTAGTTTTTATTGATTATTTCAAATATCAATGTTCTGCTAGTTACGGTTACATATCAAAAATAAAGGCTGTACCAGAAACAAAAAAAACACAATGGGTAGTTTAATAAGTTAAAGAAATATGTGTGAAAACTATACGTTGTATATCTTTATTAGATTGGAATAGCTGGAACATAATATTTCGCTTATGACAGCTATACCAATATAGTCTAATCCATAAAACAAAATACAAAACAGTAAAATCTTATCATAAATCCACTTGGTATTGTTTGTCTGAATCTTCCCATTGATGTTTAGGACTGAATTTGATCACTCTCTTAATGGCATATGTGGATATTGTGCGAATCGCCTTGATATAGCCTTAAGTCACAAGCATTCTAAGCGAAGATCAATAGTGGTTAGCAATGGAATTTAGGACGTGCGTTTTGTCCCATTTATGACTCGTCAGTTGTATTTACATGGATCTGAGAGTTGATGTTCATTCTGAGATTCGAACTCAGTACCGTTTACTTCAAATGCCATCGCATTTTTCATTTAGCTACTGAGTCCTGATAGCCACTTTTCATAGTAAAATCTTATTTTCTTGGAATAAATACATGAGGTACATTTTGCATTCAGAATTGGTTTACAAAATGGTATTTATATACTATGAAAAATAACAATTTGTATTATAGGTATCATCATTAAGGTTTGATTAGGCATTGGTTAGATTGTTATAAATAAGAATAATATTTATTTGTAGATCGGTATGGAAAACCTGGAAGCACTGGATGGCCGTTTCGCCCTACTGTGTGACTCCTCGACAGTGTGCATCCACGACTTCGCTTTGCGAGATCCATTGACCTATCAATCTCGCGCGCCAGAACTTAAACACTAGACCACTCAGACAGCATCTAACTGTGTAAATGTCTTACTTCAACCAATCCACGAAATCGATTGACACATCTATCATTATCATCAATGAGTTACTATCTCACAACAGACCCAGTCAGTTTTATTAAAATTCTAACCTAATAAAAGAATAATTTACAGCTAATATAGATAGGTAAAATATATTTTACCTCCTACATTTCAAGTGTTGACTTTTATGTTATTTGCAAATACATATATCCTTTGAACATGACAGCTACCTTATCGATGGCTTCCATCTGACACTCGATGATATAGTCATTATTCAATGTCTACATATTCAGTCTTAATTATTACACCATACATTCAACTATTTTTTAAAACAAAAAACAAAAAAAACAAAGAGAACACAACTGATATTCAATACTATTCATGTCATCTATCAAAAATGTCATGTCAATTATGTGATATACGCTGGTAAACTAATTTATGCAAACATTTTACAACCAAATGATAATCTTTCATTAAAGCTAATATCTAATATACAATAATAAGATAACATTTATATACGATTGTCTGTAACCATAGTGATAGTAGTGCTTCTTTAAGATTCAGTAAAAAAAGCCAATAGCTTTAGGGGGGATGAGAAATAAAACGTCACTATATAGCATTCTGTATGAATGAAATGTTTTTTTATGTAGGAAAAAAATACTAATAATGGTAAATATGTATTTTACTATAATGAAAAAATACAAAAATATTACGTCATAAGTAATAGTGTAAATCTTGATTGATGTCTGTATATCCTGCTGTTTTTCTATAATTATAATCATCAATCTCTATTCAGGAATCATTGTTGTATTCGAGGATTGAATTTTCTTAATGTATCCTTATAGTATTTCTTTCATGTTACAGTATTTTTGTTTTTAATGAAAGAAACAATGTGCTCAATTGATTATATCACCTTTTTTTCTACGGTTTAAACGAAATTAAACAATAAAGTAAACAAAACAGACTACCAGTTAGAGTAAATTATGTAATATAACAATAGAGTAGTTAGTAATACTTATCTAGTGATTAGTTATCTTCGGTATCATCACATGATAATCTTGAAGCGCTTATTTTAAGTAAATAATGTTATCACTTTGTTGAATTATAAAATAAATGATAATATGAACGCAATGGCATTTGAAGTGAACGGTACTGAGTTCGAATCTCAGAATGAACATCAACTCTCAGATCCATGTAAATACAACTGACGAGTCATAAATGGGACAAAACGCACGTCTTACATTCCATTGCTAACCACTATTGATCTTCGCTTAGAATGCTTGTGACTTAAGGCTATATCAAGGCGATTCGCACAATATCCACATATGCCATTAAGAGACTGATCAAATTCAGTCCTAAATAACAATGGGAAAGTACAAGTAAAACAACACCAAGTAAATTTAAATGATAATGTGTTTTGTATAAGTTAAATATTCAGAGAGAATGGAAACAATAGCTTAGTGATGTCTGTTTTTTATCGACACTGTCTTATTCACATGATTCGTTTCATTTCTTAGTAGTTCAAAATGACTTTAAGATTTAGTTGAAGGTCAGTAATCAGAAGTGTTCTCATGTTTTGTATATTTTCATTAATCCAGGTATGACACTGATGATATCTACACTGATTTGTTCATATTACTCATCATGAAGAGAAGTAGAATATTAAATATAGAGCTACATATATCGATAATATTCTTTACTTATATATTTGATGTGAGCTTTGAAATATTGCTGGTCATCAATGCTTGGACATACTGATAGAGTGATGTGAGCTACTTATATCTACATAAATAGTATATAACGATAGTCAAGAATGAAAGAACGGGGAAAGGAAAGGAAAGCAATTGATATGAAAACACAGGAACAATGAAATCTGAGACGATGTATTTAGATTTGCAAATGAGACAGTCACGTTTAAGACAACTGATTGATATTTTGCAGATTATGTATTTACTGTATCTTTCTCAGATTTTAGTGAGATGTTCTGTAATTTCATAAGATGGTGGTTGGGAGTAGTCAACAGGAAACCCTGGACCCGGGTTTCGTGCTACTTGTCACTCGTCAGCAAGGTGTACCTGTAATCTTGAGGGAAGTGGTGTTCCCTGACGGATTCGGTCCCTTATCACCCAGCCTCACAGTCAGAGACGTAACCCAGTGATCAATCAGTTGTGATTACATTCGATTGTCCCCACTCGAATTCTTATTCACTACAGTAGTACTGAACATGTTTTATTGGTAAACGGTTTTACATCTTTATATCAAAATGAATGCTGTAATTTCAGTTGACACAGTGACTCATTTCTGAAATGATATTTGAAATCTTTAGAATTTTACTATTCATTTAAAGGAACCATTCTATGTGAATATCTTCATCTTACATACAATGGAGCCATAGTAACTTGATGAAAACCACATGTGTTAAAATTAACGCTTTTAATTTAGATATGACAATTGTTTGTTTATGTTTGTTTATTAGTTTTATTCATTCACTTACCTTCTTTTTGTTGAAATATGCAACAGGTGAAAAAGATTAATTCAGGTCGTTTAGGTAAAAAAGATCAACATCTGTTATGATGTAATAAGTTAAACTTAATTCCATATGATATCCATTCTTCAATTGGATATTATTATCATTAGTACTCACAGAAAATACATTTATGGACTTATTTAATTAAGTGTAGAATGAAGTTAAATTAAATGTTTGACAGAAACTGTATTACTATTCTATATTATTAGTTTTATAAGCAAAGATAGATAGTGGTTAACAATAGAATCCAGGATGGGCGTTTTATCCTATCTACGATTCGTCAGCTCGATGTACCTGCATCTGAGAGTTGATGTTCACTCTGGAACTCAAACCCAGCACCGTTCTCTTCAAACGCCATTGTGTTATTCACTATCTGACTCAATAGCTAAGTGAATAAGGCATCCTGGATTTCACTGCTAGCCACTATCCATCTTTGTTTATAATGCTTCTGAATTACGGCTATATCGAATCAATAGGCACAGTATACATGTATACCAATAAGCGACTGATCAATTTCAGTTCTAAACATCAATGGGAAGATTCAAGTAAACAATGCCAAATGAACTTATATTTTTAGTAGTTTAGTCCTACCAATCATTGA